CTTTGATCTCAATCGATTATACTTTTGGCTAATTGGGTAGGTGTCGATAGCAGCAGAACCTTTGCTTTGGTCCATACCACGAAACAAGCAAAGATCTAAAGCTTCCTTTGCTTTGCCTCTAATGAACATTCTGCGCCACCACTGTATGTCATCTCTTATTAGCAATAAATATCAGGTAACTGCATTCACCAACCTCCCATCAGCCACTCCGTCTATCAACCTCTTATCAACAACAAATATCAAATAACTTTCTCTATCAACCTTCTATCAACAATAAATACCAAGTGACTCTGTCCATCAATCTCACATTAGCCTATTTATCATACAAGGCTAATAATCAATAACAAATATTAAGTAACTTAGACAAACCCATACCCTTGAGTGCATTGTTCTCCAATACAAATATCCTTATACTCTATTTCTTATAGTAGTATTAATTTTCAAATAGATTATATATTTAATTTTTATAAATAAAAATAATTTATTATATTAACGTGATTTTTGCTAAGATAACGCGAAAAAGTTAGGCTAACATCGACTAAGACGCCAACCTCTCGTTGGTTGTTTTGGCCACTACCCTTTCACTCCCTCGACGAGTCCGTCACTCTCCTATTACCTAAAAACCCACCAAACATTTCTCATTTTTCACTATATATTCATCTTCTTCACTCCATTTTCAAGGAATCTCTTCCATTTTTTTCCTCCTGAAAATCACTTTTTCTTCATTCACCATGGAAGGCGCAGCAACAGCTCAAGCTTTATCTCGTATTGGGTTAGCTGGCTTAGCTGTTATGGGTCAGAATTTGGCCTTAAACATAGCTGAAAAAGGGTTTCCTATATCTGTTTACAATAGAACCACTTCGAAAGTAGATGAAACCCTAGATCGTGCTCAGAATGAAGGACAGCTTCCATTGATTGGACAGTACAATCCTCGTGATTTCGTGTTGTCTATTCAACGACCCAGATCTGTTATCATTCTTGTTAAAGCGGGGTCACCTGTTGATCAAACGATTGCTGCGCTTTCTGAGTATATGGAGCCTGGGGATACGATTATTGATGGGGGTAATGAGTGGTATGAGAATACTGAAAGGAGGATTGATGAGGCGTCGTCTAAGGGGCTTTTGTATTTGGGTATGGGTGTTTCTGGTGGAGAAGAAGGGGCGAGGAATGGACCTTCGCTTATGCCTGGTGGGTCTTATGGGGCTTATACGAATATCAAAGATATTCTTGAGAAGGTTGCAGCTCAAGTTGAGGATGGGCCTTGTGTTACTTATATTGGTGAAGGTGGGTCGGGGAATTTTGTGAAAATGGTGCATAATGGAATTGAATATGGTGATATGCAGTTGATTTCGGAAGCTTATGATGTGTTGAAGAATGCGGGTGGGTTGAGTAATTCTGAATTGGCTGATATTTTCGCCGAATGGAACCGTGGGGAATTGGAGAGCTTTTTGATTGAAATTACAGCGGATATATTCAATGTGAAGGATGAATTGACTGGAAATGGGGAGTTAGTGGACAAGATTTTGGATAAGACAGGAATGAAGGGGACGGGGAAATGGACTGTGCAGCAGGCGGCGGAGCTGTCTATTGCAGCTCCGACAATTGCTGCTTCGTTAGACAGTAGGTACATGAGTGGATTGAAGGATGAGAGGGTAGAAGCCTCAGAGATTTTTAGGAAGGAAGGTTTAAAGGAGGAAATAAGTTCTGATATTAATGGTATTAGCAGTGTTGATAAGAAGAGATTGATTGATGATGTGAGGCAGGCATTGTATGCGTCGAAAATCTGTAGTTATGCTCAGGGGATGAATTTGCTAAGGGCAAAGAGCTCTGAGAAAGGTTGGAATTTGAATTTGGGAGAGATGGCTAGGATTTGGAAAGGTGGTTGTATTATCAGGGCAGTGTTTTTGGATCGTATTAAGAAGGCGTATCAGAGGAATCCTAATTTGGCTAACTTGATGGTTGACACGGAGTTCGCAAGGGAGATGGTGCAGAGGCAAGCTGCTTGGAGGAGAGTGGTGGGACTTGCTGTTCAGAAGGGAATTAGTGTTCCTGGAATGTCTGCTAGTCTTCAGTATTTCGACACCTACAGGCGTTCTAGGCTTCCCGCGAACCTTGTGCAGGCTCAGAGGGACTATTTCGGGGCACATACTTATGAGAGAGTTGACAAGCCAGGAGCATACCATACCGAGTGGGCAAAACTTGCTAGGAAAGCTCGAGTGTAATGCTGCTGCAGCTATTGCGGATTATGATCAAAATCTCTGGTATTAGTCGCGCTTTAGTACTTTTTTCGTTTAGTTTTGCAGTTAATAATGTTGTATGCCTTTGAACATTATAGGGCCTTCGCTATCGAAATGACTTCTTCCATTGAAGTAAAAGAAGTTGCTTTTCCTACATTACATTTTGATGCATACAAATTACCTGCACTTTTATTTATATATATGGATTATTACAGCTCCTCACTCTCCAAACGAATATTTTGTATAATTTGAAGATATCATGTTATAGCAAGTAGTTTGTGTTTGTCTTCGGCGCTCAGCTTTGAGAGCATTTTATGTTGTTAGTAGAGAAAAAGTACTATTAACTGGGAAAGAGAGCTATGGTTGTGATTGTGAATGAGCCCCGAGGCCAAGGATAGATTGTGCTCGCAATGCTTCATTAAAAATATGTCTTGAGACAATTCCTCAACTTGAAAGGCAAACAATGATGAGTATGTGATTAGGGGAAATATTGGAAGAATGTTGTGGCTCTTATCCCGTTTGATGCTATATGGATGATTAGGATGTATCTTAGAAGTGGCAGCGAAAGGCACCGGCCTGGTCATTAGTGCCTTAATTATCATGGAAAAGAGGCATTTCGTATAAAACCTTCTGAATTTTAGAAATCTTACATGCCTTCTAGGTTTGTATCTTCAAATTTTGTTGTTTCCTTCAGGAGTCTCTTATTCCCTCGCTCCTTTTCTATGTTTCCGTTTCTACTTGTATTTGCTTGTGTGCTGTTTTAGTTTACCATTTCGCAACAGTGTTTCCGAACTGCCACTTGCAGAGTTTCTTGCTTCTATTTTCTTTGATTTCTGTAGTTCTAATTGACACTAATGATTCCATCTTGTTAAAATTTGTGCAAAATAACATGATTCCTGCCTGTCCTATGCCATATCATCTCTGACCCAAACTCAAAGCTGCATATCTGCAAGTTTTTTAATAATATTTAAAGTAAAAATTTTGTTCCGATATTTAAGGTTATTATTTGACATTTTCATAGACAACTGTTGCTCTTTGCAGTTAGTTTATAAATGTTTTAATATTCTTTTGATTGCTTTTGATATAATTTTGTCGAATTGGGGGCTAACCAATTAAAATTCTCTGGTGTTTTATGAGTAATAATGATGTGTTTGTAGTTTCTATTTGCTTTTCGAGATGGTTTTCAAGTATTTCACATAGAGTGAAATACAGTCTTTCACCACAAGAAATTGATATTAAAATCAAAACTCATTGTGGGTTCACTTATGAACGGGACGTTTAAAATAAGAGCCTTCTCTTACATTGGATGCTCAAGTTTTTCCTTGCAGAAGTCTTTGATATAGACTTCCCATGTCCCATTTTGTGCTCGATGATGAAAATCACGAAACTTGTAGTACCCTTATGAAGTTCAGCATACAATTGTTCCTCCATTAACAGTTTTACCTTGAAAATTGGAATCTTATGTGGATCTGTCAAGCTTTTATCAGGAATTTGTTTGTTCGCGTAAAAACTCAGATATTCTGCTGCTTTTCTTAAAGAACTTCAGTTCAATTCTTTGCTGCTCTTTGTCTAGGCTATTATTCCCTCCTCTTTGCATATCCATGTATCATCTAGATCTTCAACTCCAGTTCTCCTTCGTACGTTTTGAAACTCCGATGCAACATAAATTACATGCAGTGTGTATATAGTTAATAAGATTCTTATCGACTCCTTCTGGGAGGATCTTGCTTGTGACTCCAGTGTAGAGCATTACTGATTTGAAGAACACTGGTTTAGGATTGGTGGCTAACAGAGCTTAATATTTCATGCTGTTACTATATCCTAATGTTTTGTTCCTTAATTCCTGTTTTTCTTCTGCTTCATGGCTGTTAGACTATTTTTCCGTGACCCATGTCTGTGTTTCATTTTTCATGACCTACGAACGAGTCTTGTGGATGTCTATGTGAAACCATAGCATATATGTCTGGCTTGTTGCTTCTTCCCAACTTCTATTCTGTTCTTCTACCAAACCCAGGACTACTTCAATGTCTGATAAATTACTGATGAGGGCTGTTTGAGCCATTTTTAAGCTTTGTAGTTGGAATTCCTGCGTCACGTCTACTGTGTTCCCATGCTTCTATTATATACATCTACTATAATGTCAATCGATCAATCCACTTCTTTTCTTTGGTCCAACTTTTGTGTAGCTCTCTTTTTGTTGCCTTGGTCGTGTTGTTAAAGCTTACATTTGGTTCAGCACCAAGGTTTGTTAGAAGTCTTTGATTTTGTTGGAGATTTGTTTATACATCATAAAAAGAGAGGTTGTAGAACCTAAATAATTAAATGCTGGAATGAATGATATAATGATTCATGCACCTTGTCTGGCCTAGTGATTGAGAATCTCGAGGTCTCAAAGTTCAAAACACTAGGTAATTTTTCCCAAGTTATCTGTGCGGAAAAGCTGACTTAAACATCACGATCATAAGAAAAGAAAGAATAATGATGATTCAACACATGCATTGTCATTTCTGTTTCACCTCTATTTATTTGATCTATTGTATTCTTGACGCAATCTTTCAGAAGGAATTGAATAACATTATTCTAAATGAATATAAGCCGTTTGTTTAATTGTTGTTTGTCAACCTTTTTAACATTCATTTTGATATAATAAAACACGAAGGATCAACAATGTGTTATCAAATCAAATGAACCATTTTTATGGATTTAACCATTTGTTTTAACTAATAAACCTTGTGTTATGTTGGTAAGATAAAGGGGTAACAATTTCAAAATAAAATGAGCGATTGAAATATCCTTGTCTATCTCATACACCAAACAAACGACAACCATGGTTCCTTTAGGCTTTAACTACTATTTCCTTGAACAAATTGACAAGTCAAAAGGCCAGTACAATGTGAAGCAGATGAAGCTAACTGAGTCTGTGAGTTTCAGTAACATACAGCAGCAGTGCACATACAACAATTGAAACCTTTTAACAGACCTTTTGGCTGGTTAATGTCTTTCAGTTAGCATTCATTCTTGAAGCAAAGTCCTTCTGTTAGTAAGTAAAAGCTCATTGTCGGGCAGTAAGCACAGCTCGAAGACGGAGAACTCCATTGATGAAGTATACACTACCCTGAGCTATAAAAGTAGTCCAAGGTATGCCAACCAGGTTCCTGAAGCCAACACCCTTGCCACGAGTGAATGTGTGGCTCCCCTTAAATCTGCTCACATAGTCCTCAGATAGGGTTGTCAAAGCTGCAAAGTCAAAATCAACTGTAAATGTCTCTAACCCCTGCTCTTGCATGCTTAAGAACATTCCAAACCAATGGAATGAATTCTGTTGATCCATGTTACAACGAGCTGATAGGTAAAAACCCTGTCCACCCAAATGGAAAGCCTCTGAGTAAATTCTACCAGCAGGAAAGAGATTATTACACTCTTGCCGATTTAAATCTAGGTAAACGATACACTGCTGAAAGGGAAGTTCAAAATTGAGAACTTTAATTGGTCTAAACTTGTAAGCACGCTCCACAAAACTACTACATGATGCATTGCCCTCCTCAGCAACAAGCAAACGCTGCCGGTGCGGTGCTTCAGCTTTGAAAAATAAAGCCCCCAATACATTCTTGGAAGCTAGTTCAGGATCAAAATCATTACAAGTTAGAACTTTCCTCAGCTTGCTGCATGTCATGTATGGAAAACGAATGAGGTGACAAAGACGAGACCCCAATATTTCACGTCTTTCTTCCAAGTTTGGGTAATGGGTCCGAGCCCACTTTAAAACAAAGTCATAGACAACATCCTCTGAAGCAACCTGAAGATCGTCATTGCAGAGAACAGCCTCAAATCCCGCAATAGGTAAGTTCAATACCTCTACTTGGAACCTGGCAAGGAATTTAGGATACAGTTCAGATGACAAATCTTTGTCTAAACCATCAAACAACGTTTCTAAGGAGTTAACAAGTTCTGATATCTAGGTTTAAATTGAAAGCATTCTGAAATCTGGTACTAGAAGCCTCTTTAGAGGCAAGAGTAGAGGTCCTTTATTTCACTTTTTAGTAATCAAACAAACAGGAAAAGGTTAATGGCTAGTTTATAAAGCCACAGAAGTATAGGCATATGGGAAAACCACACGCACTCTGAAATAGGAGCTAGCTCGTGAGGACAACAAGACTCTAGCTTTTCTTCACATTTCGTTTCTAAGAAACAGTATTAAGCTCAATTTCAATCAACCAGAGTAAGTAATCAAAAACTCTCTTTCGGAAGTGTTCTCACTTGGTGATATCCTTGAAATGTGCAGCAAGAAACTGTTTTGCAGCATCTAGCAGTGGCTGAACTGCATCAGCAATAGAAACACTAGAAGGAAGATTCAAAAATAGCGAAGCTAATTCACATGTCATGGGAAGATTGAGCAATAAACGGCTGCAGTGTCTCATGCATGATGCAACCTCAAATTTGTCAGCAGCCATAAGCACATCAAGCATAGCAGTAGCTGGTATCGTAGACAAAGTATTGCTATACATGAATTGTAGTAACTTTACGAAGGCAGCTTCTTCTGCGAGAAAAAGAGATAAAGAAAGGTGGATGAGAAAAAAAGAAAATTTGTGAACACAAATTAAAGGAACTATATGTTCACTAGTTAAAGTAACTATCTAAGAACTCTTCTTTAAATATGCTTAGAAGCAAAACGAGCAGTACTAGCACTTGGAACATGTTATTAACCTTGCAAACATATGAATAGACAATCAATGTTTCACACAAATGTTTCGGAAAGAGACACAATTTTTGTTCTGGTGTCTAATCCTTCTATTATTCATCAAGATAGATAAAGTACTGGATATTTAGAATGATGCTTTTCTATATTTGAAGACTTCTTATTACTTCTTAACATTTCTACTTAGCCATGTGAACACGAGGTCATGAGTTCAAGCTATGAAAACAGCCTCTTGCAAAAATATAGGGTAAAACTGCATACAATAAACCCTTGCGGTTCTTTTCTGTAATCCGCACATAGCAGGAGCTTAGTGCAACGGGCTCCCCTTTTTTTTTACTTAGCCATCAATGATATGTCCGATAAGAATTGACATGGCTTTCAAGACTAGTTGATACAAAGTGTACTTTAGGAATGTTATGATTTTAACTTATTTGTCAAAAATACTTCTTTCTTAAACAACCATCTGATGGAAGTACAAGAATCCCCTTAATTCTATGAATTCAAACAGCCGAAAAAACTGAATTTTCAATTAGTGATTGATACACATTGCTCTCTAATTGCACATCCTAAACATCTAAAACTTGTTATTGAAATGTCAAATCAAGTGCACAAGAGGTGGCTAGTCTGTGTAATAGGAGTAACGGAAAGGACAATACAATGAAATGAGAACATGCCAAACTACAACTAAAAAATCTTAATACTAACCCGAGGCATAGATTTGTACAGTAACAAGCTGCTTCTCTGACTCTGACTCTCTCATGCCATTGGAGAATAGCTATGAAGAAAACAAGAAGACGTCAAAAAACAAGCAATCAAGACTTTCTAATTCATCAAAAACAGAGCATTAAAAACTCCTAGCCTTGTAAAAGAATGGACTCTGTGCGGCCAAAATAGCAGAACTGATGCGTATAGTTTTCACTGAAAGCGCAGCTGCAGAGTTCAAGTGTGTGAATGAGTCAGTGCTCTTAGAAGCAACGCCACCACCTTTAAAATGCCGTAGGCTTGTTACAAAAGGAAGTAGAACAGAGAAAGAGAAAAAAAGCACAAAATGATAAAGGAACTTAGGTTTAACATTCCATTACATCATAACAAAATTAAGGTTTCAGATTATGCACACAAAGACGTCACATATATTGCCTAGAAGAGTGAAAGCCATGTTAGAAGATATCTTAGATTCTCATATATCATGATCTTATGTTAATACAGTTGGAATCCTAAACAAATGACATCCTTGAAATAGCAGTACAATGATGGAAATAAGATAATTTGGTCTACGGTGGGTAGTGCATAGGTACCCGGGTGATCTGTAGTCATCTCAACACGGGATGAAGATTCCTCAGCCATTGCAACAGCTTCCTCATCTTGGTTCTCATAAGCAAGGACTTCTGTATCCAGCATAGTACAATTCAAAACCTTGTCCTTGTGTTGCGTGAGCACATCTGCATCTGAAAGGTTTATGAGATCAGCATTCACTAGAACAAAAAACAAAGTGAATTTGGAGAAACAAACTAATAAGTGCAGTAATGTTAAAACATAACAACCTTGAGTAAGTTTTCTGATAAACAAACGAGAATGTGGACAAACTCAAATGCGCACTCTGATAACTTAGAACCCAAGTATGATTTTGAACAGTGGACATACTTGATTTTGTGGCAGACGGAAAATTGTAATATTTACAGCCAAATTTACCAGAAACAGAAAAATAACTACAAGATCATTATTCCTTTTTTATTTATTTTATTTTGATAGCAAACAAGATCATTAGTATTTCACTCTCCAGACTCCATATTTGCAAATTATCTGATGCCAAAATTAAGTTATACTGTTGCTGCATCTGCAAGAACAGTTGTAAAAGACTAAAAGAGGTTGATTCATCTAAAAAACTAAAAACCTTAAATTCAGAAAGGATACAAGTGATCCACCTCGATAGCTAAGTTCATGAATTCTTCCCTTTCCATAACGATGTCAAATTCTCCAAAATACCGTACCACTGCCGAATTCTTTAAAAATACACTATGTTCTGGAGAATTCAACACACACCCATTGACGTTTTTTGAAAGTTCGAGCAACATAGCTAGATAGTACGAAATTAACTTGAATAAATAAATTCAAATCCTACAATTTGCATCTTTTCCTCATAAAGCATGATAACTAAAACCCCATTCTTCACATTCATTTCAACCATAATAAAATTAACCCTTAAAATCTAAATTAGACAAATATGCAAATTGTACTTCTTACATACAAAATATACGCACACTAAAACAAAGAAAAACCCCTAATTCTACCAAAATTTTTTTTTAAAGAAACCCTAATTAGTGAAATTAAAAGAACTAACCATTTTGTTTACTGGTTTCTTCTCTTCTACGTTTCCGTTTCCGGTCCAAATCGCCGGCAGTACTGCTACATCCCTCACCGTCGGATTTTGAGTTCGGAACAATCTGGATCGTCAGAATCCGGTCGGAGAAAGCGGCATTGTCGTAAGCGAAGGAGAAGTTGGATCCAGTACCCGACCCGTAACCAAGAGGGTCCATTTTGGTTAATGGATCAGAAAAATTGTTTTTCATGGAATTCAAAAATTAAAGTATTTTAGTGAAGAAAAGGTTGAGAGAATTTGTGAAGATAACAATATATACATTTTTTTGGTACTTCAATTTGTTTGTTTCTCTAATTAGTTATTATGTTAATTAAATTATTTTTTATTAGTTTCGTTTGTTTCTCTAATTAGTTATTATGTTAATTAAATTATTTTTTATTAGTTTCGAAAGGATTAGCTCATGTTGGAGGGAGCATTCCCACTTAGTGATCGGTCGACCGATTAGTTCATGCAAATTCGAAAAAGTTATAATGGACAAGCCACAATTTGCACGTGTGGTTCTCGCCGGGCTTTCCTAAGGTATCTAACAAGTTTGTGCTCGTCGCTAGCGCACCTCTCTTGACTATTCCTCATTTGTTCTATTTGTATAATTTCTACTTTTATTTATAACAGCTAAATGAAATCTAAATATAAAATATTATTTCTATATATATAAAACGTAGCATCACGATAATAGCTATAAAATTTTTAAACAAATAACGAGATCTAATTATACAGAAGTGTTGAACCAAAAATGTGATATGAAAAATTTAATGTGGTTTACGATGTTTTTGCTTGCATAAGTATATGCAAATTCGTGAGTATGATGAAGATATATGATTAAATATTAATTAAGTTTTAATTTATGTAGTCAAACAGTATGTTTGAAGTGATTTTATGATTAATTTTTAATGTACGAGGGGTTGTCAAAGAGAAATAATATTGTAGGATTGTGATTTTGTTTAACAAATGCTTGTTGAATTCATCGATTAATTTGACTAGTTGGTAATTAATTTATTTGGCATAATGTATAATCATAATCTTTAATTTGACGTCAGTTGACAATTATGATCTTTTACTTTGGGTGTGCACAAGTAGATACTCAAATTTGTATAAAATTGAGTAAATTGACACATTCGTCCTACATGACAATTTTGTGTCTTACATGGCATCCGTGTATTGTGTTATGTAAGACACTTGTGTCTTCTTGTTCAATTTTATACAGATTTAAGAACCTACTTGTGCACATTTAAAGTTGAAGGAGATAATTATTCACTGAAATCAAGTTAAGAATCATATTTTGAGCCCCAATTAAATTTGAGAAAAATTTGACCTTTAATACGTGAATTCCTTAAACTAATTGTGTCGTAAGGAAAAAAATCTGGAAAATATTTTAATTTTGGTCGAAGTTATTGTAATGAGATCAAATTTTATGGAGGATTTTTTATTCCTACATTATTTAATAGTGTATTTCAAATGTGTTTATGTGCTCACGTGGACATATTATTATTATAATTATGTAATATTTATAATATTCACGTGTGTATATATATATATATACCTTTAAAATATCCTATTAAATAATGTAGAGAACTAAAATATCATTCCAAAATTTAATGTCATCACTGCAATTTTCGTCAAAATTAAAATATATTTCAGATATTTTTCCTTTATTTTATAGTACATAGAATTAACTATGGTAACAAACGATTTATCCGTCTTTGAATAAATCATCCATTTTTATTTGTAATTTTTATTCACTTAATATATTATGCCAAAAAAGTATCCATTTTAAAATCGTACTCTTTTAGGTCAAATTGCACAATCAAATCCTCTCGAAGTCAAATCTGTTTTCAAATTTTACACATAGAATAGTGTATTAGGATTGCTATATACACATGATTTTTTAAAAGAGATTCGACCAGTTTCAAGAATCGGATAGAATATATGTCCCACTATGATATCTCGTGCAAATTATAATTAATTAATGATCTAAAAGGAGTCACTAGCTTTTGCTAGAGAATTATTAAATTGTCACCGACCAATAAGATAGGTAAAAGTTATATTATTAATTAACTGAACTACTAAATAAATATTTGACCTGAATATCTTTTACTTTTGCTCAAAGTAGAATTCTCGAAATTATGTATGGTCATAAAAAAAATGAAAATTTCTAGAATTTGGAAAAATACTTAAACTTTGTTTTCTTTACACCGTATGGAAATTTCTCATAAAAAATAATTTCAATTTATATTCATGACGACCAAGCACAACCATAATTTATAAATATCATTTTTAACTCCGAAAAACAAAAAAATACTTTTTCAAATACTCGCAACCTTTCAAACAAACAAACCCTAATATTTCTCATTTATTTAGTATTTGCTTACAAGGAGGACAAAAAGATGTATAAATGTATATCATATAGTTGTGATAGAGCTTCCTCTTAGGGAAATCCAGTATTCCATCTTCTATTAATCTGAAGAAAAAAAAAGCCAAATATTAAGCAAATATAATAATATAAAAAAAATGAGAGTTTAAATTATATTTATCCTCAACATAAAATTCTTTTACACTATTAACTAGATTATTATTTAAAGAATATCTACAAGTAAATCTACATAAAAACTGATATTATATTCTTGAAAATAAAACACGACAATTAAAACTCAAATACAAATAAGTGTTGCACACCCTAAAATGAATTTAAATAATCTTATGAACTAAACAACATAGAAATTAATTCATTCACACAATCAATTAATTTTTACTTGATACAAGATAAAATATGGGTACAAATGATTATAAAATATTACTACTAATTGGTGATTTGATAAATATGAAAACTAACCAAACTAAAACTTTGGTATGTAAAACTTAATTGCTCCCATAGTAATTCAATTTATTTTTGTTAATATTATAGCAAGCCATGTAATTAATTTGCAAGTAAACTAATTAAATAAGATCCAAAGGTGTGACCTAGCCTTAAATAAAAGGTAGAAAAATCACCAAATTTAATTTTTTCCAATTGTCCTTGTGAGACAATACAATATATCAATATATTTCGAAATACCATTGCTTCGATATGATCCATTAAACAAAATGAAGGAAATAACCAAATAACTAAAACTAAAATGTAGAGTACAAATAGGAATTTAATAAATTTGAAGATATATAAAAGAAAATATATTATCAAGTAATTACGAAGAGGGAGCTCCCTTCAGTCCAAGCAAAAAAAGCTTAAGATTCAGTCAGCCTACCGCATCATTCACTCAGTTACTAAGGTTTTTCCTCCTAATAATTCTCAAAGCCTTAGCATTTGTGTGAATGAGTCAGCAGCTAATTGAACCATACTGCCCCCTTTATGTGGACTAAAGAAAGCTCTCTACGTATATTATACCAAAAAAAAAAGTTTGAAAATTGAAGAAATGTTTTTATTCTAAGGCAAATATGGGGGAAGTAACATTAGAGAATTGAAGAAAGAAGAATGGCTTTATATAAGCTAAGAAAAAAGGGTGTAATAAGACAGTACTATGGTTTAAATATTGCAATGTAGTACAATTTGGAAGAAAGTTATAATTATATATTCAAATATGCTTACTTATTATTATAGTCCATTTAATTAGCATATGCTTTACTTTTGGTAGATATAAAATGTTAAATATATGCAAAGATTGTGGAAGCATAACCAATTACTTGTACTTGTACATATATTACATATATAAGAAAATAGGAAAAATGCATAAGTACTTCCTACACTATGATCGAAATTCAAGAGACACACTTTAACTAAACGAAGGTTTATTATCCCCTCTGAACTTATTTTTTTTGTAATTTTGTGCACCTTTTAGGTATACACGTGCATTCGAATATCTCCCACGCACCTCAATTGTGTGGGGTCACGGAGTGTGGCACGTAAGACAAAAGCTATATATAATTATTAAAAGTATAAGTTCTGAGAGTTAATAGAAATTTAGTTTAGTTAAGGTAAGTGTCTGAAATTTCAGTCATAGTCTAGGAGTACTTGTGTATACTCCCTAAAAAATATAACAAGCATATGTCATGTATTGATAGTGCTACCACTTTAACATTGTTGTTATATAGAAGATGAGTAAGGTGTTTGAATTAGTTGATCGTAAATAATTGAAAATTTTTAAATATAAGAATTTTTACATAATTAAATTATTTTATAAATAAGTAATATGTGTTTGAATAAAAATGCTAAAGCTGATATGTTTGATAAAAAGAAAATATTGATGGGCTATTCGTTTATTAAAATGACTAAACTAGTTATAAATATTTTATTAAAGTTTATACAGTTAAAAGTTTTTTTTTTCAGGAAAAAAAAAAGGAGTAACTATGAATATAGAGTGAAGAGTAAATATTCAAAAGGTATTCTGGAATATATATTTTGAAAATTAGAAAGAATATTAGGATAAAACAAAACAAATTTTTTTTTAGTAAAACCAAAAGTACCACTTATAAGTCGAAAGGCATAATATATAGGGAAAATTGTATTAAATGACAAATTAATAAATTAAATTAATTGCTTAATCATCCTTTGATTTAATTGTGTCCCGCAGCAAACTATTTGTCAGTCACTTCTCTCCCTCAAACTCTCACTCGCCACTCTCCTCTTTCGCTCCATCTCTCGCTCGCTTCTTCTCACTTTTGTACAAACACAAATGTATAAAATTTTTTGTTATTTGTATAAAGCGAGAGAAAATTGTATAGATACATATATTTTTGTTCCCTTCTCCCAGATCTCGCTCGTCACTCTCCCTAATCTCGCTCGCCACCCACCTCTCTTGCTTATACAAATAGAAACGAAATGTATGAATTGCATTTTTATTTGTATAAAGTGAGAGAAATTGTATATATACATGTAAATACATATATTTTTGTCATATACACTTATAATTATACAATAAAAATACTCCTTGCCCAGTTTCTGTTGTCTTTCTCTCTTTCTCGTTTTTATACAAATTCAAATTGTATATAATTTCTTTTTTTCTCGTTTTATACAATTCGTAACAATTGTATATTCCCTGCCCAAGTCTCTTTTGTCTTTCTCTTTTTCTCATTTTATACAACTTCAAATTGTAAATATACACTTATAATTATACAATTCGTTTTATATACTTTATTGTATACAATTCTCTGCCCAAGCCTCTTTCTCTTTCTCATTTTATACACTTTGTTTTATACAATTCGCTTCAATTGTATATGTATAGCGAATTGTACATTTATATGTTTGCTATGGAGTGCAATTTATGCAAACTTTGTTATAGCATACAAATATGAATTTTATTTTGTTATATGTGAAAGTTGCCCTAATATATGAATATGTCTTTTAATTTGGTCTCAGATCACATATATACCTTCAAACATGGATTTACATAAGTAGACACTTAAATTTATATAAAGTTGAACATATAAACACAAATATCTGATATGACATCTTACATGACATTTGTGTCCTACGTGGTGTCCTACATGCATTATGTTACGTAGGACTCGTATGTCTAGTTATTAAATTTTATACAAGTTAAATTGTCTATTTGTGCACACCCAAAATTTGAAGGCATGAATATAAAATGAAGCCAAGTTAAAAGACGCATTTATATATTATGCGCAAGTCGAAAAGTTAGAGGTTGAATATGACTGATTTATTGCTTTTGATTATACAGATACTTTACTGATAATAACATTTTAAATGTTTATCAAATTCATAAATATATTACGAGGATCAATAGTATTATATTTATCGTTAATGTAACAAGAACTTTCAACCTATCGATTGACGATAGAGATAGTTAAACACCTGAGTAGAATTCTTTTAAAACCATAGGCTTCATGGATGAGTCCAATGTTTTTGTAGAGCCACCTATTCCTGATTTTATAACTACATATAGCTAAATTACTACAGTAGAGAAAATAGTTCTACAATAAAAGCCTATACATAGATTACAATTCATCATAAATTTATTGAAAACAAATAAATGTCATCGCCAATTTATTGTTATTCATAGTTAAAAGGGAAAAGTCATGTCTCAAGAATTATAATAATTTCTTATGTTCTTATAGAACATAAAAATTATTATACAAAAATTGTGAATTATATGAGGATTTTTCTGAAAAATAATATGAAAACTTGAAGAAAAATAAGTTTCCTGTGAATTTTCGTATCAATATCCAGAAAAATTCTGATATAATTCACAATTTTATTGTAGTGTAACGTTCAACTAATTACTATCATAACGTCTTGACAACTTACACCCCTTCTAAAGCAACAAGAGCAAGTGTTGTCATGTGTGCAATACATAATTTATGAGGAAATTATGGATCGTTCAATAACTGATTTTGAGGTGAGTTATTTCTGAATTGATTAATATTTCATACATAATATTTTATTTGATAACTGATTGAGAGGTAGGTTATTCATATATAAAATTATATCATATTGGACTTCCAATTTAAAAGTCTGAATCATTATTTATGCATGACAGAAAGTAGAATAAGCAATACATGTGTCAAATAATACATAAATTTTCTCTTAATTACTTTTGATATTACTAATAGCTGCATAATTCTAATCAGCTATCAAATCACGCTATATATATTCTTTTTTGAATAATGCACAAGTACTTCCTCAACTTATGTTTAAAATCTCAGAGACACACTTATACTATACTAAGGGTCTATTACCCTCTGAATTTATTTTATTCATAATTTTCTAGTCCCTTTCGGCTTACCTGACACTATCTTGTGGGTCCAACAATGATTGACTTTTTCTTTCAAACTAGTGTCACGTAGGCTTAAAAGGATAGAAAATTACTTATAAAATAAATTTAGGGGATAACAAAACCTTAGTATAGTATAAGTGTGTCTCTGAGATTTCGAACATAGATTGAAAGAATATTTGTGCATTTTTCCTTTTTTATTACTATCAAAAAGAAAATATTTCATCTTAGACTTTGAGTATAATATTTTTTATTCACTTGTATGATCCCATCCCCATGACCAGGATTGTCTTGAAAAAGCATGATGTATGCAATCCTGTCAAGCACAAAGTCTATTAGGAAAATAATTTATTATAATTTCTTTATATATTATATTATATATATAAATGAACTTTAAAAAATCTATCAAGAATCTCTAAACCCACGTATCTCTGTTGGCCACAAAGTCTCTGGAGAAGCATATATATAATTACCCCACTTGATTGTGCAATTTGACCCAGATATATAATAATCGAAATTTTTGAGATATATCTCAATTAAATTAAGATTTTGAATTAATTTTTTTTAATTATTTTTTAATTTTACGTGAAATTCAAATATTTCATATGCGTCTTAACTATGTAAAGTTACAAAGTGTGCTACGTAATACATTTTTTTTGGTTATAGTATCATCAAATTTACTCTCCATTCGTTAAACTCATTCATTTTAATTAAAATAAAACAAAGTCAACAATGTGAAATTAAATAAAGATAGATGAAGTTAACAATTTAATTTTTACATGAACATTTTTATATCTAATTAGTATTTAGAGACATTTTTATTCAATTTTTCATAATTCATAAATATATATTTTTTTAATCCATTTTTGTATTTAAATGACATGTCAACTCCCTGGATCAACATTTCTCAATAGCGTACGTATTCACTTGTTAAATCCATGCCATCCTGTCTTTCTCCTTTGCCAGAGGACTACAAGCCTCAGCCCTCACATGCCCATTGTCCTTTTTTTTTTTAATTTACGTTCTTCTCCGTCTCAATTTATACGATATTATTTAATTTGATACGATACTTTTATAAAAAGATTTTATAATTGAAAGTCATTTCGTTTAATGATAAAAAGGTAATTTTCTAGTTAAATTTTCCTCTAAATGAGGTCTCAATGCGGATATTAGACATCAGGTGAAAAATATATATATATTTTAATGGTAAGTTGATATTTTTTTATGACCCACCGATTAAAAAAAAAAGTGTCACCTAAAAAAATAGAAATAATTACTTCTTTCTGATCTTTGTGACTTAAATTGTTAACTTATCCCTTCCTTTTAATTTGATTATGATGTTTCTGACTTGTTACGAAGTTGAAAAAAGTAAAAAAGATTTTTGATTTTTGATGTTTAAATTCAAAACATGTGTTATATATCAAAGACATAACACATAAACGTGTTATTTAATTTGATATTATACGTCATTACGCTATTCAACAATTAAATTTATATAAAAGTCCAACATATACACACATTCAATACTTGTTTATTTGAATGTGTACAAATATATACATTTAAACTTTTATTAAATTCAAACAAATAGACACATACGTCTACTTTGGTGTCCACAAATAGGTCATTCTTCGTGAACTATACATTAAACAAACTCGCTAGACGGAATAAAAGGACAAATAAATCGAAACGAGAGGAATAGTAATATTCTTTTTCTTCTGAACAATAATTGAATCATTTTCTTCTGCTAAAGGG